CCTTCCTTCCTTCCTTCCTTCCTTCCTTCCTTCCTTCCTTCCTTCCTGTTAGAATGCAGTATTGAAGGCTGACTCTGTCAGCAATTCGATCCTGACTAGCTCAGGTTCAGTCTTCCATTTTCTGATGTTGGTAAAATGAGGATCCAGATTATTGGGGGCAATAGGCTGACACCATAAACTGCTTAGAGAGGGCTGCATAGCACTGTGAAGCAGTATATAAGTCTAAGTGCTATTGCTATGTCAATGTGGGAAGATGGATCTGCTTAATGACTGCATGATTCATTTAACAATTGCAGGGATTCACTTAGCAACGGTCACATGCAAAAAACTTAAAATCAGGCACAGTTCGCTTAACAGATGTTTCCTTAGCAATGGAAATTCTGGGCCCAGTTGTGGTTGTACATCAAGGACTACCCAGCTTTGGCTTCAGAGCCAGAAAGTGCTGGCTAGATGTTAAACTGCAATCTATAATCACCTCTTCCAATCAGGCCAGAAGCCAACAACGTGCTCTGCGATTTCTTTTTTCATTTTTGGCCCACTCAACAATGACAATCTTTCGTCTCCATCTCTGCCTTTTTCAATGCAGATGTGCTTGTTCTTAATCACCACTGATTGTCTTTTCATTTCACCAGCAATCACTCCAGTGTCCCGATTTCCCCAAACAAGCTCTATATTTTAACCCTTGCAAGCTTGTTGAGATCAAAGGAAACACATCTGGGTGTCTTGGAGAGTTTTGCTACGAAATTTTGAGAAAGCACGTCCCTCTCTTTCTTCCTTCGCTCTTCTTCCTTCCCCTTTCTACCCTTCCATTTCACCTTCCTTCATCTTTCTTCTCCTATCTTCTTCTTTGCACCCACTTTACCAGCCTTATCTGCACATCTGCAGGTCGGGGGTGGTGGTGGCCTGCCTCTGGCTAGTCTTCATTGTTCTCGATGTGGTTGTTATTATTGTCATTTAAGATTGCGATTTAATTTATGGGAGAGAGAACGGCAGGAGTGGGTGTGCTCAAGCAGGCTGCAGGAAAGGAAAGACCTCGATTTGATTCTGCAGGCCTGAATTTTTAAAATAAGTCACTTTCTGCCTCTTAAGGGCCAGCTTAAGAGAGAGACATTGCTATATTGGGTGGCGCTGTTCGGGCCATGAAGAAAGTTGTTTTGGATGGCAACCAGGCGTGGGATTCTACCAGCTTGCACCTATTCACTAGAACTGGTTGTTAACATTCTAAACGGTTCGGAGAACCCATTGTTAGAAGAAATTACAGGACTAATCCTGTAAGGAAGGCAGGAAGGAAACATTCTGGTGTTGCTTACAGAAACTGCCTCTCCGTTCACCCTTATTACATTCTTGGCAGGACTAGACTTCCTGTCTCAGGAACTTCTCTAGAGTTTTTTTCCCTCCTTTGCTGGTACTTTGCTTGTGTGGAGTGACCATTCAAAGTTACAATGGCACTGAAAAAAGTGACTTATGACCATTTTTCACACTTACGACCGTTGCAGCATCCCCACAGTCATGAGAGGCCAAGCGAGGAGATGCATGCCTCGATGTGAGTGATATTGAGTTGGCCACGCCCAGCCAATAACATGACCACCAAGCCATGTCCACCCAGTCACATGACCACCAAGCCACACCTACCAACTAAGCCACGCCCACAGAACCGGTTGTTTAAAAAATTTGAATCCCACCCCTGATTGCAACAGCTTAGCCCTGCTTGTAGGGGTCAACTGTTGGGGGTTCGCAAGGGTTTGGGAGAGGCCCCTAGCTAAGATTCTGTGCAGTTTGGAGAATCCCCAAATCCTACTCCTGCCTGGCCCCACTCACCCCTCCCAGAAGTCCCCATGCAGCCTGTTTTGGATGCAGGTGAATGCAGGGCGTGCATGGAGGATGAAAAACGGGCCTCCCAGAAGTCCAGGAAGCCGGGAATGCGCCTCTTTCTGACCTCCAGAAAGACACCGGAGCCCGTGGAGGCCATTTTCACCCTCCTGGA